TGCACCCGGAGCGGCCGCACGGAGGCCCCGGGCAGCCTGGCCTGGTCCCGGCTCCCGAGGGAACATCCGTGTGCATCCACGGACTCGGCCAAGCCCGGTTGGCATCAGAGACGCCCCAGCACTTGGTTCTGCCACCGTTTGTCCCCCCTTGAGTCAGCAGGGATGTTCCCGTAGAAAACTCCGAGCTTGTGACACAGACCGGCCTGGAGCAACGCGGAGAGCGGGGATGCGAACGCTCCGGCCCGCGGCACGGGGACCAAGGGCTCCATGGGGCAGCTCCAGCTCTGGACGCTGCTCCGGCCCCGGCTCCGCCGAGCTCCGAGCTGCCCGGCGCCCCCAAACCCGGACACGGCAGGGGGACCAGCCGGGGAGCCACCACACCGGGGAAAGGGACAGCCTGGGGGACCGGCCGGGACAGGTCCTGCCTCCCGCAGGCCTCCAGGAAGGGCAATCCGAGCCCGTTCTCAGAGTAAATCAAGTCATTAAGTTAGATGGAAGCTAAGGCTTTGGTTGTTGGGAGCCTCCCGGAGTCTCCGGCCTGTGGGAGGGAGTTTGCAGGGCCCAAGCTGCCAAAACTGCCCGTGGGAAGGAGCCTTCACGGGAAAACCGGGCCCTGCTCCGAGCACGGGGCTCCTGCATCCCTGCATCCCGGCTGCGCAGGCACCGGCCAAGACCCGACCCAGACACGGCCACGGGAAGGACGTTCGTGGTCACATCCCAGCTGCCACGCACCCCGTTCCCGACACCGCTCCGTGTGCGAGAGCCTCTTATTCCGCAGCGCGCAGCAAAGCCGGGGCTTAGCCCCCCCTGTGACCGGCATTAGAGGAAGCCCTTGCCTGCCCGCAAGGTCGGATTATCCCGGATCTGTGCACGGCAACGTTCCCTTTCCCTGGTCCTCACTACCCTGCACTGCGGTGGCTCGGGGTCTTTCCAAGGAGAAAAGCAGGAGCAACAACATTTCCCTATGGTTCCCACGGAGCGGTGGGCTGGCTCCGGTTCCCACTGGGCCGGCTCCGGCAGCCCCTGGATGCTGAGGATGGGATTTAGGGGCTGCCGGAGGGTCCTTCC